CAGCCCTCAGTCTTCCTTTTCTTCCCTGGTACATGCTTCCTTTCTTTCTCCTGGTTGACTTTAAAAGCTGCCCGTGTGTGTGTGTGTGTGTGTGTGTGTGTGTGTGTGTGTGTGTGAGAGAGAGAGAGAGAGAGAGAGAGAGAGAGAGAGAGAGAGAGAGAGGAGACAGACAGACAGACAGACAGACAGCAGAGACAGACTGGTTTGGTGTGAATTCATTCGTGAGTTGATGGTTTAGTTTTAGTTGATTTTGAAGATGTTCTGACCTCTATTTCTGAAGTTCCATTGGTTTCCCAGACCTTGGAGTTTTCTGCTTCCAGCCTGACTTCTGGCTCCATTGCTGACTGCAGGAGCTTTTCTCTTGCTTTCCATTGTGGCCCTGTGTTTCCTTGGCTCAGCCTTAGAAGAATATGAACTTGTTATTCTGAAGATGCAGAATGCTGCATAGGCATTTATCTCAGCTTCCTGTCTTGGCCCCACTTTCACAGGGCAGCTGCTTTGGAAATGGTGGGTTTTCTAGCCCTTTTATTTTGGAAACAGTCTCTATATGAAAACCTGGTGGCCTCAAACTTGCAGCCATCATCCTTTCAGTGCCTCCCTGAGAGCTGGGATTAGAGGTGTGTGGCAGTACCCCTGACTTGCCTCCAGTCTTTTGTACTCACTGACTGCCAATCGAAAAGGACCTATGAGTGGGATGTGAGGATGAGTTCACATGCAGCCATGAACCTGATCTTTAGAGTCTGAGTTCTCCTTAATCCTGTCAGTGAAAAATTCCATGTTTTTTTTGTTTGTTTGTTTGTTTTTGTTTTTTTGAGTCAGGGTTTCTTTCTCTATGTCGCTCTGGCTATTCTGTCCTGGAACTAGCTCTGTAGACCAAGCGGGCCTCAAACCCACAGAGATCTGCCTGTCTACCTCCTGAGTGCTTGAGTTAAAGGTGTGTGTTAACCACCACCTGGCAAGGCCTGACTTTTTTTTTTTTAAGATTTATTTATTTACTATGTATGCAGTGTTCTGCCTGCATGCATGCCTGCCAGAAGAGAGCACTAGATCTCATTACAGATGGATCTGCACCACCAGGTGGTTGCTGGGAATTGAACTCAGAACCTCTGGAAGAGCAGTCAGTGCTCTTAACCTCTGAGCCATCTCTCCAGCCCAAGGCTTGACATTTTAATAAATTTATTTTTAGAGTTTTATTTATGTATATGAGTGTTTTGCCTGAATATGTTATGTGCCTCACATCTGTGTATGGTGACTGGAGGTGAGAAAAACATGTTAGATCCCCCCTCCCCCAGAACTGAAGTGAAGGATGGGAATCGACTTTAGGACTTCTTGAGTGCTTGGCGAGGGTTCTGCTACAGACCCATACTTCCAGTCCTTTTTCAGATGTTTTGAGACAGGTTTCCTTGCTCAAACTGACCTTGAACTACTGAGCCTCCTGCCTCAGCCACCTGAGCAGTTGGGAATACCAGCTTGTGAGTCAGATAAGTTTTGTAAGCTCCTGTCCCTGGTCAGTCTCACCTGTAGTTTGTAGAGTGTGGCCTAAGTGCCCTAAACCCTGCTAGATCACTGTGTGTGGAGAAAGTCTGACTGACACGTGCTCTGGGGCTGCCTTACAGAGGCTGCTGCTGCCGTTCCCCAGAGCACAGCTCCCTGGCAGTCCGTCCTTCCACCTCCACACAGGAAAGGGGGGAGTGTAACACAGCTGACTGCTCTTGCTTTGGCCCTCCCAGGGCTTGAAACAGGTTGCCCCCCCCCCCCACTAGCTGCTGTTTGCTGTGGGGAGGGAGTGCCTGGAAGGGGAAAGGCTGGAGTGGCATCTTCACAGATTCTCCAGTGACTAGGCTAGTCTGGTTCTGGAAAAATAGGAGGTGTATTGGGTGTGCTGTTTATTCATTGACTACAGTTTACAGGGCACCTAGTAACTGCCAGATTCTGTGCTCAGAAAATGCTAGTAAGCTGCTTAGTCTCACACCTTTTGATTTAAAGCAGCCAGCCACCATAATGGAGAGAGATGGTGTCGTAGCAGAGGATCACCCTGGGGAACGTGAGAATGTGGAAGAGAGGAGAAGGGAAGTAGGAAACATCGAGCAGGAGGAAGTGCTCAGACTCAGGGCTTCTCTGAGTCAGGACTGGAAACAGGTTCTCTTGTTTCCATTACACCTTAATGCCTGCAGTGCTGGCACACAGTGGGCATCAGGACTTCCTGATGATAAAGAACAGGGCTGTAATGTGGCTGTCTGTGTTTCTGGGTCCTGGGTAGGGTAGCACTTCCTCAATTCCTGTGGGTGTGTCTGAGAGACTGTGTGACCTGCTTGGGTCTGTAATCAGTTGGTAAATGCATCATGGGGAAGAGAGGTGTAGATGCTCATGTAGATCCTTTGGTACACTGAGTATCAATGGTAAAGGTAGTGTCTTCATAACAACTTAGATAACAACTCTGTGTGATTTAAGTCACCAGTTGGGGGCTATCTGACCTGTCCTGATGGCCACAGAAATCTGACGGCAGTACTTAGGTAACTGGAGAAGAGTTGCTCAGATGTTTCATGGTCCTGTATTTGTTCCAATGTTTCTTTAATCTTAGGTCAGTATGGCATCTCAGAAAGTCTTGAACCAGGTGTGGAGGTATAGAACTTTAATCCCAGCACGGAGTGAGTTCAAAACCAGCCTGTTCTACCTAGGACAACAGAGCTACATAAGACTTTTTTTCTTGAAGTTTTTCAAGACACGGTTTTTCTGTATAACAGTACCGGCTGTCCTGGAACTTGCTTGATAGGCCACACCAGCTTCTAATTCACTGAGATCCACCTGCCCCTGCCTCCCAAGTGCTGGGATCCCCATCTCCTCTGAAGTCTTAGCCAGAAGACAGAGTTGGGATGAAGGGTAGCTGAATAGTTACTGATACTGTATGAAACAGCCTGCTATGCTAAGTCTTTTTTTAGCTTCCTGAGATGATTTATCCAATAATGGGTTGTACCACTGGCCTCCTTGAGGTCCAGGTCCTGAAAGGACACCTTTGGGCCACTTTTCCTGAGGAACAAGGGCTTTGTCAGCAATGCCTGTGAGCAGGTAGCTAGGCTTGTGGCCTTCTGTGCCCTGAGAAGTCAGTAACTGGAGTCTGAGGCATGATCACAGACAAGAGTGAATTTGATGCCAGCACCATTGTGCCAAGCTTAGGGTACAGAGTACCGCTCAACCTGTCCCTTCCCAAAGCAACTGGCTGAGTTCCAGTTAGCTCAGACTGCTCACTTGACTCTGCAGAAGCCACTTTCAGAGGCTGTCACTGTGGACAGGCTGGGGTGGGTTGGAAGGGTACTTTACCCTGAGAAGCTGCACCATTGCTTTGCAAGTGTGTGGGCTGGCAGAGCTAGCTCTACCTGTAAGACTGTACCTCATATGTAAACGTGCACGTTACATCCTTTGTGGTACAGTCAGACCAGCGTTAGAACAGAAAACCCAGTTTCTATAGATTGGGGGCGTTGCCCCCCAAAACACAAATGAACAAAAAAAACCCCAACAACATAAAAAGAAAGCATTTGTATGTTTATTAGCAAGCATTTCTCTAAGAACTTACCTGAAGGAAAAATAGCTGGGGCCAAGGACATGCTACTCGTTCATTCTCTCCTTCATGTGTTTCTGCCAAGTTACCTTTAAGTTCTTTTACTGTTGTATTTACTTATTTTCTGAGACAGTCTTATCACTTTGTAGCCCTGGCTGGACTGAACTTGCTATTTTAATGAGACTGACTTTGAACTCAGAAGAGATCCATCTGCCTCTGTCTTAGAAGCATGCACACCATGCCCTGCTTTCTTTTACTAGTTTAAACTTCCACCAATACTGTATCAATATTCTGTTGTTTTTCTTTTTTGCATTTCTCCTCAGACTTGATGTTAATTGAATACTAAAGTTTCCTAGGGCCTGGAGATGGTGTGAGTAAAGAGCCTGCCATCAAGCATGAGGGCTGATGCTCCTCAGCGTTCTTGTAAAGGCGGCCATACGTGCATGCAGGCAACCCCACCCCAAAGTTCTTCTAGTTGGAAATGTTAAGATAGTTGGGTTTCAGCCGGGCGATGGTGGCGCACGCCTTTAATCCCAGCACTCGGGAGGCAGAGGCAGGTGGATCTCTGTGAGTTCGAGACCAAGCCTGGTCTACAGAGCTAGTTCCAGGACAGGCTCCAAAGCCACAGAGAAACCCTGTCTCGAAAAACCAAAAAAAAAAAAAAAAAAGATAGTCGGGTTTCTCTGGCAGCGGTGTCGGTCTCCTGAGCCAGCTGCCTACACTCACTCTTTGACTAGCTTAAGACGTGTTCTGCAATTCATCCTGTGCTGCTGGACTTTGCTTACTGGATACTGACATAGATAATAATACAATGCTCCAACTAAGAAAAGTGCTACTAAAATCTTCCCTTTTAAATGAGCTTTACTTGTAAAAAGTTCTATAAAAATATTATGAAGTTTCCCATACCGATTGGCATTTCATGTGTTGTATTATTTGTGTACCTGTGTGTGGAAACAGATGCTTGTGTGCATTCAGAGGCCAGAAGAGGATGTTTGGTATCCTGCTCTATCCTTGACTTCTGCCCCTGAAACAGGGTCCAGTGGCCCTCCCTACTTCTGCACACAGTGCTGGGCTACAAGTTTTTTACATGGGCCTGAGGATTTGAACCTAGGTCTCAATGTTTGTACATCAAGCCCCTTGCTCACTGAAATGCCAACCTGATGAGCCTATTCCAGAGACTTCAGTGCTGTGCGGTCTAGGAAACTTACCACTTGGCTAAGTGTGTGATGAATGGATAGAGAGACAGACAAGACAGAGATGGAGGTACTCCATAGCGCAGGCTGTCCTGGAACTCCCAAACAATCTTCTTACCTCGGGCTTCCCAGATTATAGGCAGGTGCCACCATTCTTGCTATAGTCCTTCCCTGCTAAATGCCCCACTGCCATGCCATTGCACAGATACGAAGTGTTTCCTCTAGTGATTTTTCTCCTCTTTTCATCCCAGGTTGTAGCAGAGTAAGATGGACGGTAGCTTTGATTGTGATTGTGGTGAGCTGGAGCCACCTGATCACTAACAAAAGATACCTGTCAGCCAACGTCACCAGGGCTTCCTGTTGAAAAACAGCAACAAAGGAAGAGGAAGCAAAGGGAACTAGTGCTTCCCAGCGCCTTAGGATGCTGCTCAGGACCAGTCCAACACTGAATGTATCTGCACTGTGAGAGGATGTCCACGGAGGTCTGCCTGGTGCATATTTATTCACAGTTTTGTCTCATTTTAAGTCAGTTAGCATAGTATATCTGAGTGCATAGTATGTCATTTCATTCCGTTTGAGTTTCTTGAGTGTTTCTTTAAATGTCTGCAGAGTTGCTGCCCTTCCTTGAACTATGAGCACTGCAATCTTTTTAATTCTTAATATGAATAGAGATTTTTGAGCTTTAAGTCTGAGGGGAACTCAGCGGGCCTGGTTGGCATCCGTCTGCAATGAACATCAAGAAACCATCGTGCTGTGGAAACGGAATTGTTTTTCTCCCTTTTTGAGAGATCTTTCCTTTTGATGCCAGTTTTCTTCCTTGTTTACATAAGTTCAACAATTTGAAAGGAAAAGGCGATTGTAAGGGTTTCAAAATGGCAGAGAAATTTGAAAGTCTTATGAACATTCATGGTTTTGATCTGGGCTCTAGGTACATGGACTTAAAACCGTTGGGCTGTGGAGGCAATGGCTTGGTTTTTTCCGCTGTTGACAATGACTGTGACAAAAGAGTAGCCATCAAGAAAATTGTTCTCACCGATCCCCAGAGCGTCAAACATGCTCTCCGTGAAATCAAAATTATTAGAAGACTTGACCACGATAACATTGTGAAAGTTTTTGAAATTCTTGGTCCCAGTGGAAGCCAGTTAACAGACGATGTGGGCTCTCTCACGGAGCTGAACAGCATCTACATTGTTCAGGAGTACATGGAGACAGACTTGGCGAACGTTCTAGAGCAGGGCCCTTTACTGGAAGAGCATGCCAGGCTTTTCATGTATCAGCTGCTACGTGGGCTCAAGTATATCCATTCTGCAAACGTACTGCACAGAGATCTCAAGCCAGCTAATCTTTTCATTAACACTGAAGACTTGGTGCTGAAGATAGGTGACTTTGGTCTGGCACGGATCATGGATCCTCATTATTCCCATAAGGTACGTGGGAAGCTATCTCCACCCAGCCTCTCAGCTGGTGTGTCTTTTTCTGGTGCAGGTCTGCTTTCATTCATAATTGTCAAGTGGAATCCTAGTTACATATAACTTTCTCAAAGTGCATGGCTGTGTGTTAGTAGTGAAGTTCTGAAGTGTATGACTTCGTTTGTTTGGTTTTTGAGACAGGGTTTCTTTGTGTAGTTTTGGCTGAACTGGAACTAGCTCTGTAAGACAAGGCTAGCCTCAAACTCAGAGTTCCACCTATCTTTGCCTCCTGAGTGCTGGAACTAAAGGGTAGTGCTACCACAGCCTGGCCTTTTTGAGACTGGGTTTTGCTATTTAATCAGGCTGCCTTGGACTCTAGTGTATAGCCTAGGCTAACCTCAAACTCACTATCTGCAGCCTCCTAAATACTGGGGTTCCAAGTATGTGCTGCCATATGGAGTTATCTCAAAGTGTAATATTTATATATTCATAGCAGCTTCCCTTTATCAGCAACTTTTTTTCACATAAGAACTTAATAGTGTCTTGCAAGGAGAACTCAGGCCTTTTGATTTTAAATTGAAATCTCAGGTAGAATCTTGATATTTAAAATATAAAAGTGAAAAAATATAAAAGTGAGCTGGGAATGGTTGTGTATACCTTTAATCCCAGTGCTCAGGAAGCAGAGACAGGTAAATTCGTGTAAGTCAAGGCCACTCTGGCCTACACATCTAGTTCCAGGCCAACTAGGGCTACATAGTGAAACTTTGTCTCAATAAAGTAAAAAGTAGAACTGATTTGGTGACAAAGAACCCCTGAGAGCAAGTCCTATTACTTGGTATTCCATAGCCCATGTCTGAAACAAATCTTCATCCATGTGTGTTGTCTTAACTGGTTATCTTCACTCTATTAGTAAAAGGGGGCGGGGCTATGAGATTTCTCAGCAAAAAGGTTCCTTACAGCAAGCCTGATAACTTAGATCAGTCCCTGGAACCTACACTGTAGAAGAGGTGGATTCTTCCAAGCTCTTTTCTTACCTCAACACTTGGTATGTGGTTGCTCGCTCCCCTCCCCCCTCCCTCACCCACATAGATTAATAAACAACTTTTAACATAGAGGTCGAGTCCCCGCTGAGCACTGGAAGGAGGCACACCCAGACCTTTACTTGGTGTCCCTGGACTCACCTAGGTGTGTCCTTAAGCAGACCCGCAATCTGTTCAGTGCTCTGACCTGCCAAACACCACCAGTACAGTGAGTGCTGTATTGTTCTGAGGGTGGAGCAAGGTCGTGTGAATGTTGGTTAGGAGTGTGGTGTGGTGGTGGTGGGGGAATCAGTGTGATAACTAGGAGCTGCAGCTCTCTCCCCTACCTTTCCTTCTGATCCGAAGCATGCCTGCTCCTTAATTATGTTAAAACTTGGCCTAGAGTTGGCATCAAGGCCTTCTGCACGTTTTGTCATCAGAGGAGTGGCATATCCATCTCTAAGGGAATGTTGCGGCCTCTAGCTGGTAAGAGCTTTGAAAATGGGCTTAGAAATCAACAGTAATTGATTTTATGGCTCTTTTGGGGGATGAATCTCACCCCTAAAGTAAGGGAAATTGAAGTCTGGTGTTTCTTTTCCAGGGTCATCTTTCTGAAGGATTGGTTACCAAATGGTACAGATCTCCACGACTTTTACTTTCTCCTAATAATTATACTAAAGCCATTGACATGTGGGCTGCAGGCTGCATCTTTGCTGAAATGCTGACTGGTAAAACCCTCTTTGCAGGTCAGTATTAAGTGGACCAGAAGTCATTTTGTATTTATCTCTAAGGCAAGGTTCTGTAAGATTTCAAAGAACTTATTACTTAAGAAATGAGAAATGTGTTCACAGATTGATTAAATTGCTCTAGCATCTAGTTAGAACTCTAGATTTCTAAACTCAGTTTTGTGGAAGTCATATCTGAGTTAAATTAGCCATTTCCTGGTAAGTTTACTGTTGAAAATCCTACAGATTTCTGTTGCTCCCTTCTCCAGGTTTCTTTTGGACAGTAGGAGTGCCCTCACAGTGTGGAAACTCTTATCCCTTAAAAGACCAAGGAAAAAGCCAATGTTTTAAGAAAAACATACCTAGTTTACATACCATACAGTTCACCCATTTAAAGGGTGTGTTTCAGCTGGAGATGTGGCTTGATTTTAGAGTATCTGCCTAGCATTCATAGAGCCTCTGGTTCAAAACCCGAGCACTGCAGAAAATTGTGTAGTTGGGCGTGTTCATAAATGTATGGGGTTGTCTGATTCTTGAGCATCTCCGTCCTTCTGAAAATGACCCTCTGACCATAATTATCCCTTTCCCCAGCTCCTGCACCCACTCATTCTCTATGGATTGCCCCTTTTAGACATTTCACATGGATGAAACCATGTACCAGGTTCTCTGACAAGCTGCTTTCTCATGGCAATGTTTGTGGTTCATTCATGTAGTACATATCAGTGTTGGCATATGCCAGATGCTATTCCCTGTGTGATTATAGGGCCTTGTTTTTCCATTCATCAGTTGGTGAATGTTTTGGGTGAATGTTTTGAGTTTTACTTTTTGGCCCTTATGAACAATGCTGCCATGAACGCTTGTGTACTGATTTTTATATGAGCATGTGTTCAGTTCTCTTGGGTATCCATCCATGCCTAAGCATAAGACAGGTAGGTGACACACGGTAATTTAGGCTAAATTTTTGGAGATCAGTTTCTTAAAGCAGCTGTGTGTTGTACATTCCCCAGTCACCTGAGAATGAGACTGTTCTGTTTACATTGTCACCAGCACTTTAGAGAGTGGTCATCCTGGTGGTGTGAAAAAAGGATAGCTCAGGTGCTTACTGACCTCTTTGTTAGTATAGGGTCTTACACTGTAGCTCATTGGCCTTGAACTCCTGAGGCAGTCGTCCTGCTTCAGCCTCGTGGCTGCTAGAATTACAAGTGTGAGCCACCATGCCCAGACTCTTATTGGCCGTTGTAATATCTTTTTTGTAGAATATCCAAATCATTTGTTTGCTTTTCTTTGAATTATTTGCACTTTTAAGAATTCTTTATAGGGGGCTGGAGAGATGGCTCAGTGGTTAAGAACGTTGCCTGCTCTTCCAGAGGTCCTGAGTTCAATTCCCGGCAACCACATGGTGGCTCACAACCATCTGTAAAGAGGTCTGGTGCCTTCTTCTGGCCTGCAGGCATACACACAGACAGAATATTGTATACATAATAAATATTTTTTAAAAAAATTCTTTATATATACTGTGGACATGGAGTCTATCAGATATAATTTCTATTTTCTCCCATGCTGTGTGCAGTGTCTTTTGAAGCACGGAACATTAGTTCTGCTGAAGGCCAATCCATCCATCTTTTGTATTAGCATAGCATATCTGAGAAACCATTCTGTACAATATTTACTTCCATGTTTTTTTCGAAGCATTTTATAGTTTTAGCTGTTTACATTTAGATCAGGATTTGTTTTGGGTTGGTTTGTGTTATGATGTGAAGGCAGGGGTCTAATTTTATTACTTTGCCCAGTTGTCCCTGAATCATTTGGTGAAGAATTTACTAATTGAATAGTAAGACACCTTTATTAAAAGAATGAGCTGACCATAAGCATGAACTAACTACCTTGTGATTTTCCTCAGAACTTACACACTGTCATTTCAGCCTCATGCTATAAAAACAGGTCATCAAGGACAGCTCAGACTCAGTGCAAGAGAGGTGTTGACTTCTGGAAGGGAAGATTCTCAGAGAATCTGTGGATGTACTTATTTCTGGGAAAGTGGGCACTGTGGGTGATTTGCTTACACTCTGGTGTCTGGATTTTCACTCAGGTGCACATGAACTTGAACAGATGCAACTGATCTTAGAATCGATTCCTGTTGTGCATGAGGAAGATCGTCAGGAGCTTCTCAGTGTGATTCCAGTTTACATTAGAAACGACATGACTGAGCCACACAAACCGCTAACTCAGCTGCTTCCGGGAATTAGTCGAGAAGGTAAGGTAGTGACTTAACTGTCATGTCTCTGGAGCACGGAGGCTTGAGCCTGTTTCCATCTTGAGGTTTGTGTTCTTTTCCCAGAGTCTGCAAGACTTCAGGTGGACCCAGGCCTTTAACTCTGGCATTCCTCTTTTGACCTGGCCCTTGGACTATAGTATATTTCTTTGCTTTCTAGAAGTTTAGAAAAACCCATCCCCCGATTCTAAACCCGTTTTCCAATTTAATCTTCCCATTTAACTGTGGTAAGCATATCGAATGACTGGTTCTCAATTAGCTGTAATTGAGTTCTGTGAGTGTTACACACTAATCAGGCATTTCTGTGAATATGACTCATTTTTTGTATTAAAATATTTTATGGAGCTGTAGAGATGGCTTAGTGGTTAATAGCACTGGCTGTTTCCCCAGAGGACCCAGGCTCAATTTCTAGCACCCACATAATGACTTACAACTGATACTTCCAAGAGATTGATACCCTTTCTTCTGACCTCCATGGGCATTAGGCATGCATGTCACACACAGACCTCCCTCCATATTCTAAAATAAAATCAAACAACCACTTGAATCTTTAAAAAAAAGTTTGTGTGAGTGCAAAGGCACACATGTGGAGGTCAGAGGAGAGTGAGTGCAAAGGCACACGTGGAAGTCCCAGGACCGCTTGCAAGAAGAGTGGGTTGTCAGCTGTTGCCATGAGAGTGCAGGAATCCAAACCTGGGTTATCAGGCTGGCAGCAAGCATCTTTACTCCCTGAGCCATCTCCCTGGCCTAAATTTAGATAGAAGGATTGGGTCAGGAGAAGGCAGAGATCTTTATGGCAAGGAAGAAAGAGTAAAATAGTGTTTGCCCATGTATTAATCCAAATGAACAAAACATGTAAGAATTTGTGAATTACTATTTGGAGCAAGAAGTATTAAATGTAAGAGTTTGTACAGTCTTGAAGTTTCTATTCATTTCTCATCTCAGTGGAGTAACATATTTGATCAAAAATCTTCCGCTTTTGTAGTTCTCTGTAATAAAGTAACCTTCTCTTGAGGAAAGGGAAAAATACTTAGCTGAGTTTGGCTCAGTGGTAGATCACTTGCCTAGCATGCTCAGGCCTTCTGTTTGACCCCTAGCATCACACTGAGTATGTACACTTAGGTATCAGAATTACATAGTCAGAGATGCACCCCTTTTATTCCAGCACTTGGGAGGCAGGCGGATCTCTTAGTTCAAGGCCACCCTGGTCTCTACAAAGTGAGTTCTAAGACAGCCAGGGCTACAGAGAGAAACCCTGTTTTGAAAAAGCCCTATCCCAGCACCAAAATGTACACCACCATGCTTACCTAAACACGTATTAAATGAAAGTAGCATTTTCAGTTTGTTTTTTTTCAGATGGACAGGCTGTAAACCTTTCCTCTTTCCCTTAGCACTGGATTTCCTGGAGCAGATTCTGACGTTCAGCCCCATGGTCCGGCTGACAGCAGAGGAAGCGCTTTCCCACCCTTACATGAGCATCTACTCCTTTCCAACGGATGAGCCCATTTCAAGCCATCCTTTCCACATAGAAGATGAAGTTGATGATATTCTGCTTATGGATGAGACACACAGTCACATTTATAACTGGGAAAGGTAAGCTCATCCTAAGTTAGAAAACATTTTCAATGCACCATATGCTGTGTGCTCATGTTTATGGCTGTCTTCACGTTTTAATAAGGATGCCTTTTGGCTTTGTGTTAAGTGTCTAACTAGCATCTGTGGAATCAGCACTGGGTCCTGGTGAGGAAATGATGAGAGCAGTCATGAAAGCGTGCTAATTAAAATTGTAAGCTGGTTGAAAATCTGAATAGTTACAACTAATTTTATAAAGTCAATTTTTTGTTTCTTGTTTTTGTTTTTTTAAGAAGGGTTTCTCTGTATAGTTAGTCCTGAAACTAACTCTTGTAGATCAGGCTAATCTCGAATTCAGAGATCCGCCTGTCTCTGTCTCTTGAGTGCTGGGATTAAAGGTGTGTTCCACCACCATCTGGCTAAGTCATTCAATTTTTTAAAAACCATTTTAATTACACACCCAATGTTTTTTCATCATGAGGATTAATTACACACCCAATGTTTTTTCATCATGAGGATAAAACCCAAAGCTCTAAGTTAAATATGCACTTTTTCCTGGATCTCAAGACTCAACCTTACCTGGTAAGGTGACTCAATGTCAGAATAGAGAGTGTCTTCAATTCTTCTGTACCTGTGACAGTTGAATTTTTTTCCAGATGACATAAAAGCTTAGAACAGGTTCAGTGAGAGGGCTTGTCTGGGCTGTGTGCTGTGAGCAGAATAGGTAGCATCCTCTAGGTGCTGCTCTCCTCAGCCTCCTTAGTGTCTCTATATTTCTGACTTTGTGGAGATGTGGAGCTGTGCCGTCCCGCTAGCCTGGAAGAGTGGGGTGGTAGCCTGTAACAACCCAGTAGAGGCAAAGTCTTCAGGGATTTGGTATATAGCCGGGACTGAGAATGACAAGTGAGATTTAAGTTTTCATGTTTCTGTGTTTGGAAAGAAATAGTTAAGCTGAACCTAGTGACATCTGTCTGGAGGCTGTAGGGAAATACCCTGTCTTGACCATGCCAGATGAAACAGAAGTAGTTAAAAGTGTTTTCTCCTCTTCAATGTCTGTGTACTTCCATCTGCTGTCACTTTCTGTCCCCTAAAAACAGTTCTCATAGACCCAGCTACTTTCTGACATCTCTTGACTCCTTCCTGTTCTCCAGCCTTGTTGGTGTGTCAGTCTGCTTCCCTTTGGGTGTGACATAGTGCCCTGCTGGGCTGTGTCACCAAGCAGAAACAGCACACACGGATGGTGACAGATTTCAGGAAGCCTCCCCTTACTCAGTAACTTATTACCAATGCAAACAAGACTGGTAAATATCTGCTCACAGTTAGATGTACTGATTTGGGGCATAAAGTGTTAATGTGAAACTAGAATAAAATTACAGATGTACCAGCCTCCTAAATTACCTGTGGGTGAGAATAGAGAGCAAAGGGGGTGAGAAGTGGCAACCCAGCTTGCTTAAGGTGGAAGCCCTGAACTTCCTTATGAAATTTGATACTCCGTTGGCAATCACCGAATGCTGCCTTCTGGTGTTTTAATTAGTAGCACAGCTCCCAAGTGGAAACGATAGATTCTGGCGGGAGGGAGTGCTTTTGGCTTTCTCTTTGTGTTACCCCTCTCCCCCAACACACACACACACATCACATTCAGAGCTGGGTGTGGCAGCATCCACCGCTAATCCAGTACTGGGGAGTACAAGTGTGAGGTCAGCCTGGCTATGGTGGGACTTGCTCTTAAAAACTAAGGCAAAACAGAAAGCACTCAGTACTCCACAGAGCACAACTGTGCATTTGAAAGTGAAATCACCACATGGAGTAATGCCTGTGTTTTCTTCAGGTATCATGACTGTCAGTTCTCAGAGCATGACTGGCCTATTCATAACAACTTTGATATCGATGAGGTTCAGCTTGACCCAAGAGCTCTGTCTGATGTCATCGATGAAGAAGAAGTTCAAGTTGATCCTCGAAAATACTTGGATGGAGACCGAGAGAAGTATCTGGAGGATCCCGCTTTTGACACTAGCTACTCTGCCGAGCCTTGCTGGCAGTACCCAGATCACCATGAGAACAAGTACTGTGATCTGGAGTGTAGCCACACCTGTAACTACAAAACAAGGTCGTCATCATATCTAGATAACTTGGTGTGGAGGGAGAGTGGAGTTAACCATTACTATGAGCCCAAACTTATTATAGATCTTTCCAACTGGAAAGAGCAAAGTAAAGAAAAATCCGATAAGAAAGGCAAGTCAAAGTGTGAGAGGAACGGATTGGTCAAAGCACAGATAGCGCTGGAGGAAGCATCCCAGCAGCTGGCTGAGAAGGAAAGGGAGAAGAGCCAGGGCTTTGACTTTGACTCCTTCATTGCAGGGACTATACAGCTCAGTTCCCAGCGGGAGCCTGCTGACGTCATTGACAAGTTAAATGACTTGAACAGCTCAGTGTCCCAGCTAGAAGTGAAAAGCTTGATATCCAAGTCAGTGAGTCGAGAGAAGCAAGAGAAGGGAATGGCTAATCTGGCTCAGCTGGAGGCCTTGTATCAGTCCTCTTGGGACAGCCAGTTTGTGAGCAGTGGGGAAGAGTGCTTCCTCATCAGCCAGTTCTGTTGTGAGGTCAGGAAGGATGAGCACGTGGAGAAGGAGAACACGTACACCAGCTATTTGGACAAGTTCTTCAGCAGGAAGGAAGATTCTGAAATGCTAGAAACTGAGCCAGTCGAGGAAGGGAAGCGTGGGGAGAGAGGACGTGAGGCAGGGCTTCTGAACGGCAGTGGGGAGATCCTCCTGAGCAAGCAGCTAGAGTCCATAAGCACCCCGCAGTTCCACAGTCCAGTGGGGTCCCCACTCAAGTCCATCCAGGCCACGTTAACACCTTCCGCTATGAAATCGTCCCCTCAGATCCCTCACAAGACATACAGCAGCATCCTGAAACACCTGAACTAAACACTCAGCAGACATTTCTTTGTTCTTCATGGAATGTGTTGTGTCTTTTTATCACTAATGTTTGAAGTCATTTTTTTACTTGAATCAGAAGGTGTCATTAATTTGCAAGGATTTTTTTCTTAGTTCTCAGTTTGTAAAATGCAGACTTTTTCTACATGTGAGTTAGTTTTCATTTGAACTGGCATGTCATTTGCACACACACACATACACAAAGAATAGAGCAAAACAATGCAGTGCAGGAGGAGACCAGATGCGCTAGGGTGAACAGACATTCTCATAGACCAGTGACCTGCTTTACGGGAAACAAAACCTTGCCTTGAAACTTACACAGTGAGACTGTACATAATTGCATGAAAAGATCTATTTTTCCTGAAACGTTTTTCATTCATTAGTATTTTCAAGCTTTTCATACTGTACACATTTCTTAAGACACATGATACCAGCAGCAACTGAAAACGAATGCCGAATTTGGTACACATGTGTTATCTACCTCAAGGTAACAAAAGTATGTGGCGAAACATAAACCACCCATAGTGCTCCACGGCATATGCACTCTATCTAGCCAGCGTTTACCGTAGTAAACCATTGAGACCCGTTCACCATTATCCATGTCCTGGTGTTCATTCTGTATAGTGAAGGGTTACATACATCACATTTATTTATTTTTAGCAAATCAGTATATTTCTGTATTTAATTATAAAAGTTAACTTAGTTTTAAGTTTATTTGCAACTGCCCTTTTTTCCATTTGGCACTATGGTTTGTTGCCTGCCAAGTTGATGATATAACGTCAGCTTGCCCTGAGGCTGTCCATGTACGTTAAGTAAAGTACTCACTGTGTATAGGAATCTGTATTTTGGAGGTGCTTGATCTATCTACAAAGAAAAATTAGGAATTTATTATAAAATGCTCCTAGAAGTCTTAATTGTGTTTATTTTTTAAAAACTTGTAATGTTAGACTTGTGTGCATGGAAGTAATTAAGGTACATCATTATTGTAGTTTAAACATTGTACATGATAAGCCTCCCCCACCGTTTTTACTGTATGTTTTTATTGAATGATCTATTCCCCATCCCTAGGCAAGCATGAATAAAATTAGGTTAAATGTAGTGTGCTGCTTCCCAATCTTTTAGACTTATTTCACCTGTTTTGTTTTGCTGAATCCTGTGTGTCTCTTAGGTTAGCCTATGTGAAGGAAACAGACAAGGCGGACAGCAGGTCTACTGCTTCTCTTCAGAGGGGAAGTTAACACCAGGTGTGTCCAGCCTGCAGGCTGAGCGCATGCCCAACGTTCATAGGGTCAAAAGCTTAGTTAGTCATCCCTAACCAAAATACTCTTAAGAAACCGGGGTGGGGGGTGGGTATTTGTCTAACAAAAACTTCTTGCTAATGTACTTTCACACATCCAAATGGAATAAATCTTACATAGCTCAGCGCTCTTACAGCCTGAGGAAGTGTTGAACCTTGCAGACTTCTCAGTAGATCACCTCTGTTTAGAAATTGATCCCCAGACCCAGCAGCATTCAGTAGGTGGTAGCAGGAGGATGAGGAGTGGAAGGCGAACCTGGCGCCTGCGTGAGCGTATGTCTGTAAGTAAAATGTTCCCATCTGAGGGAAGCCAAGGTGTCTTTCTCCTTGGGGAACTTGCTCCTGAGTGTCAACCTAGTATTAATAGTGGGTGGATTTCCATTAATGATCTGATCTTTTAAAGCCCTCAGAGGAAGAGGATGATGATAACTACATAAAACATGCTTGCTTTGTAGGGATCCAGGCTGGGTATTTCTTGTTCATTTTGTTTGAGACAGCGTCTCAAGTAGTCTTGACCAGGCTGACCTTGAACCTCTGATTTTCCTGCCTCTGCCTGCCTGCCAAGTGTGGGGGTTACAGGCATGAGCCACCGTGCCTATTTTAGGTGATAATGGGGATTGAACCCAGGGCCTGTGCATATGAAGCAAGTACATTTGAATTACATCCCCAACTCCCATTCTTATATGATTCTTGGAATGCCTGGTGTGGTGGTGTACCTGTGTGTAATGTGTGCTGGGATTAAAGGCGTGCACCACCACCACTGGGCCCTTATTTATATCTTAGTTGTAATTAATATTTGTTTTAAGTGTATGGGTGTTTTGCCTGCATGTATGCTTGTGTTTCACATGCATGCCTGGTGCTTGAGGAGGCCAGAAGACAGTACCAGATGCCCTGAAACCACTGTTGGGGCTGGGAACCAACCTGGAATCCTCTGGAAGAACATCCAGTACTCTTCATTACTGAGCCAGGGTCTCACTAAATAGCTCAAATTTGCAGTTCTCCTCTGTCAGCTTTCTGAGTGCAAAGGTTGCAGCAGGTATCACCATGCCAGCCTACAGACTGTAATACACATGAAATGTAAGAGGATATAAATTGGGGGCTAGAGAGATGGGTCAGCAGTACTGGCTGCTCTTGCAGAGGATCCAGGTTCATTTATTTCTTAACCCACACAGAACTGCTCACAGCCATCTGTAACTCCAATTTAGGGGCTCTGATGCCCCACTTCTGGCCTTCAGAGGTACCTGTACTGTATGGTACACATGTAATTCTGTCTCTTTAAGAGGCAAGCCACACCCACTCTCTTCCTGCTTGCAACCTCAGCTTTCTCCCTGTCCCTTTCTCAAAGAGACAGCTTCTGCCTCTCTCCCCACTTCTCCACTTCCCCCCTTCTCTGACTCTCCTTTTCTCCTCTCTCCTCTCCTCCCTCTCTCTCTCTCTCTCTCTCTCTCTCTCCTTCCTTCCCCTCCATAACCCACCTAATAAATGTCTAACTTTACATGATGTGCCTATCCGTCTCTCTTGCCTGCCTGCCTGTTTGTCGCCGCCGGGGACCAGCCACCTTCCCTGCCGTGGGTCCCCAGCAGTCCCAGAGACTCGCAGCATCTGTGCCTCCCACCCGCCACCTGCCCACACCACTCACCGAGGACCAGCCACCTTGGTTTGTGGACCTGCTGCGTAGTCTTGGGGACCCGTAGCAAATCCATAACACATATCACACGCGCACACACACACACAATTTTTTTTTTAGTTTTTTTAGTATTGGAGCTGGAAAGATGGCTGAGTGGTTAAGAGTACTGGCTGCTGGTCTTCTAGGGGACTGGATTTGGTTCTCAGCACCTATTTCATGGCTCACAACAATCTTTAACTCCAGCTTCCCAGCCTAATGGCCTCCTCTGCCCTGTGCAGGCACCAGGCACACAAGTATCACACAGATGTACATGCAGGCAATACCATAAAGAAAAAGTGGAGCGCAGCCTCAGACAGTTTGTTACGGGTTCACTCACTACCCTGTGCTTATTTTAGAAGGGTGGCGGCACTGCGGGCAGGTGCCTCCCGCATCCCGCTTACTTACCAAGAGATGACCGGAAGCGATTGGCTTTCCTTATCTAGGTTTGTGAGTGTATGGTGATGAAATCAGCAGTGTGGATTCTCAACACACATTAGGCAACGTGTGACAATGTGGCCCACTGTTTAAGGAATGAAAGAGGATTGTGAATCAAATGGTGTTTTAAAAAGTAAAGCAACTTTACTGCCACTTCTAAGTTAAAAGCTCCTTACATTGTTACTCTATTCAAAAGAACCTTTTAGAAACTCAGGTGCTGTGCTGTAATACAGAACACAGTTGGTTCCAGTCATCAGACAGACTGAACTGATCAGTTCCCATTTACTGTGACCACTAGATTCAGAACCACTGTAGCTCTCCCCTTGCACAGATGTGCCAAGTACAGTCACTCATAAGGTTGTTTCACCTATGCCTGTTCATGTTCCTACTGCTCATCATTCGGGTCTGAATAGAACCCGCTGAACTTGGAGTAGAGAGGTCTGAGTCTGGATTCACTGACTCTGTCACTTGGTTGTCAATCGTGGTAGACCCACTTTCATTCTTTTCTGAGACTGAACCTCCTACTTTCTGAGTGCCAATTTATAGATGAGTACTGCCACACGTAGTCAAAGTGCCTTTTTAACTTGGAGATGCAGTGTCTGGCCTGACAAGCCGGTGACCCGGACAAACCAACTGGGACAGTGTGTTCAGTTGTGACAGCAGAGTCCACTGTAATTACAAGCACTGCCCTCGAGGGAGCAACTTTCCCATCAGAGAGACTCGACTCCGCTGGACCTCACCATCATCAAAACTTGGTGAGCTGTCCTACAGAGTGCTCAGCCTGTGTAAGTCTAGAGTATCACCAACATTACAACCTAAGCTAAATGTGTATCTTAAGCCTTTTGCTCTTCCATGACCCTGACCCAGAGCCATGGGTGTGGGTGTGTTTGATAATTATTTGAAAACAACCACTAGGTTAGAAGCAACTTTTGCTGTTTTACTACATAGCCCTGGCTCTCCTGGAACTCACTGTGTTGACTAACAGGGCTCTTCCTGTCTCTGCCTCCAGAGTGCTGGGGTTAAAGGTGTGCGCCATCACACCAGCAAGAGTAATTTGGGGGGCTGGAGATACGGCTCAGCAGCCAAGAGCACTTGCTGCTCTTCCAGAGCACCCGCTGCCAGCACCCACCCCAGCTCAGAGCCACCCGCAACTCCAGCTCCAGGAAACCCAACACCCTCCTCTCCTCTGCCTTTTGTGGGCACTGCACACGTGTGGCATACACACAAACATAAATATGCTTTTTAACTGAAAAATTGATGTGAATGGGTGTTTGGGCTGCATGTATGTCTGTGCCCTATGTGGGTGCCTGGTGCCCACTGAGGCTAGATGAGGGATTCCTGGAACTGGAGTTTTGGGTGGTTGTGAGCTTCCACAGGGATACCTGGAGTTGAGTCTGTGCCCTCTGGAATAGCATCCAGTGCTCTTAACTACCAAACTATGTCTTCAGCCCCTGGAAGCAAATTAAACCAAGTATCCACCATGAATATTGGAGGTAACGTGGGTGTAGAACTTAAAAGAACATTCACATCCTTAAAAAAAAAAAAAAACTGAAGGAACTTAAAGATAACACAAACAGCTCAGTGAACTTAAAATGTAATAAGAGGGCCGGGCGGTGGTGGCGCATGCCTTTAATCCCAGCACTCACTCGGGAGGCAGAGGCAGGCGGATCTCTGTGAGTTCGAGACCACCCTGGTCTACAAGAGCTAGTTCCAGGACAGGCTCCAAAACCACAGAGAAACCCTGTCTCAAAAAACCAAAAAAAAAAAAAAATGTAATAAGAGAATAAACATTAGCATGATGCTCGAGAAAACACATTTAAAAACAATTCTATAAAAAATATGGGGGCTGGAGAGATGGCTCAGAGGTTAAGAGCATTGCCTGCTCTTCCAAAGGTCCTGAGTTCAATTCCCAGCAACCATATGGTGGCTCACAACCATCTGTAATGGGGTCTGGTGCCCTCTTCTGTCCTGCAGGCATACACACAGAATATTGTATATATAATAAATAAATATTCAAAAAAATAAATAAAAAATATGGATAAAGATGGAATTGAAGTAACCCATCTAGAAAACTCGGGAAAGTCAAGTAGAAGATAGAGTATTAGGTCCTGAAGATCAAGAAGAACTAGACCATACAAGCAAAGAATATGAAACGTGCATGTGTGCACACACGCGCGCGCATGCACACACACACAGGCAGTATGAAGGAACTCTGAGACACCATGAAAAGACCAAATCTTCAAATTATAAGTATAGATGAAGGAGAAGGATTCTAAGTTAGAGACAGACCACATCTTCAATAGGACCATAGAAGACTTCCCCAAATTCAGGGAAGACACAGCCATACAGATGCAAGAACATTAGAACATCAAATACAGAAGATCAGAAAATCTCCCCATGACATATCTTAGTTAAAACACAATGTATACAACAGAGTATTGGAAACGGCAAGAGAAAAAAAAAACATAAGGCACATATGAAGGAATAACATCTGATTTTTTGTTTGGTTTTTGGTTTTTCGAGACAAGGTTTCTCTGTGTAGTCCTTGCTGTCCTGGAGCTAGCTCTGTAGACCAGGCTGGCCTTCAACTCACAGAGATCCACCTGCCTCTGGCTCCCAAGTGCTGGGATTAAAGGTGTGCACCACCACTGCCTGGCAACATCTGATTTTATTTTTTTAATTCATGTGCATTGATGTTTT